GACCGCCTAGAACCGACCCCAACGGGGTAAAATCAAGAACACTAAAACACACAAAACAACAAAAAAGAAAAAACAACAACACAAGACCCCCACAGGGTAATTCCCGAGTGTCGGACCCCACAGAGTAATGAAAATGACACTCGGGTGCACTGAGGCCAACGACCCAAACCTAAAACACAAGTACAAACACTAAACAAACACAGACAAAACAAACACAAAAAAACAAGAAAACAACCTAAAGACAAACAAAATCAATGGAGCCCTCCCCCAGCGAACAAACAGTCCCAACCAGCAGTGGACGATCGACACAAGAAAGATCCCAGCCCGAGAATCCGCTACCGAAACTGCATAAGGCCTATACAGTAGAAGAACCCGAGCCCCGAACCGATCCCAAAATCGACCCATCGTCAACTGAAAGAGCTGCAACCGACCCTCGCGCCGGCCCCATCCAAGCTCGACGAGCTCGAAAGAACCTGGTCCCCCGCCGCCTAACACCACTAGGCAAACGGGCTCGCGCAAAGGGGAATCGCGCACTTAACCCCGACCGCCGCCTAACTACTATATTTATAATAGTAGTTACCGAATCGGACGTTCGCAAATAAAAGCTCGTTTGAGCTCGTTTATATTTGATAAGAGCTCATTCGTTTATTAATCGAGTCGAGTTCGAACATAAAATTAGACATGTTTAATAATCGAACGAATAAGAGCTTGTTCTTGAACGTTCGATAATGTTCGTGAATATTAATTTAGTTTACATTTAATTTATTTTTATATATTACATGGTACTTTTAATAAAAATCTAAAATATAAAAATTTATTTATTTATTTGTTATTTTCGAGTTCGAACAAGTTCGAACGAACATATTTCGAATTCGTTAAACATATTTAAAAAATTTGTGTCCTAAATTACTCGAACACGAACGAACGTAAACTTTGATGAATAATTAAACAAACGAGCTCGAACACGATTTTTTTGCTTGAAAATAAACGAGCAAACACAAACAATGTTCGAACGTAAACGAAAACGAGTTCGAAATGCCCAAACTTGACGTGTTCACTTCGATTACAACACTAGCTTCATGTTTGTTTTTCTGGATGGGATTGGACTAATTTAGTCCAATGGGGAAGGATTGTACTGTAGGGATTGGATTATTTATGTGTTTGTTATATATGATAAAGGGGTAGGATAACTTTAAATTAAAAAAAAAAGAAAAATATGTAGATAGTGTAAAATACTGTTTTACCCCTTTAGAATAAATCAAAAAACATTATGATCTTCCACATTCTCTCGTCTGCAACGGCGTTCTGCGCGGCGACTCTGCTCCCACGAAATCCAGCACGCACGGCGACGACTAAAGCAACGGGTTGTCTTCCGGAAATCAAAGAAATTTCGTATTGTTTGTTCGCCACATTCGGGCAATCCGAAAGGCATCGATTGCTTGTTCGTCTAGAAGCCCTAGTTCTGCCGACATAGTAGCACTGGTTCAGCAATTCGAATCACCTACAACGACGGTGTTAACAAGGTACAAATTCTTCTGGAAATTGAGATTACTTGTCTAAAATTAATAGTTATTGAGAGAGTTGATTGTTATTGCCGTTGAAGATACATTTTTTGTTCTCTGTTGTAAAATACACAAGAAACCTATGTGTAAATTGTTGTACTTGAAACTGCTTCATTGTTGTAACATACACAAGAGATGTGTAATTTTTTTTTTTCAGTTTCTTTTTCTACTGAAGAATGAAGAATTTTATTTTTTAGTGTGCACTTTGAAAATCAATTATATTATTCATGTATTACGTAAATGTTTGCAGATTGTGGATTTGGCTACACTGACTGGGGCTTGTGTTGTTGCTCTTGGACCTTCCATTGCTGGTATGAATTTTAACTCTTGTTAAGATTTTGCAGTGACCAATCCACTCGATTCAAATTATGTTATATTTTAATATGAACTGTATATACAAAAGCTATGGAGATAGATAGTGTATAAAAACAAATCCTCTAATTTATTTCTGGAATACTCATTTGGTTTCGCTTTTAACATAAAATATAGGTGTTCTTACACCGAGCTTTTATCAAGAATATGAACTTACGGTACCAACAAATATATATCATAGCTGAGGTTTTTTTTGGCGATTTTTTGTTTTTAAGCTATTGGTGTGGAATCAGCATTCACAACAGCCGATACTGAAGCTGACAGAGCATACGGCTGCCGTGAAAGCCATTGCTTGGTCGCCACATCAGAATAGCCTTTTGGCTTCTGGAGGAGGAACTGCTGACCGTTGCATTCGGTTCTGGAATACGTCGAGCGGCAATCAGCTCAATCGTGTGGACACTGGTAGCCAGGTATATTGAAATAGGTTACTACTTATATTACAAATGTTAAAGAAGGTTAATTTGAAAAAGCAAAAAAAAAAGTACAAACTCCAACTCCTTCAGTGAGATTTATATGTTTTTTGTAATAATAAAGCCCCCTATGTATACCGTATTGAAAAAAAAATAAAAAAAAAATGAAGGAACTAGTGGAGAGAGGGTAATTCGTACTTTAGAAAACCCGGTTCTTTTGTTATGCATACAGTCACTAGATACTGTCTGTGAATGAATTATGTGAATAGGTTTACATATAACTACATATATCCAGAGTTCAACTTGTAAAAATGTGCAAACTCTATAACTCCTTCAGGGAGGCTTGTACGTGTTCCATAAAATAAAATAACAATAAAATAAATCCCCCAGTATGGGTACAATATGTTAATAGAAGCAACAAGTAATCCTGAATCACCTAACTGGTTCTTTTATGACTATATAGGCTAAAATTACTTTTCATTGCCAAGAGTGTCTGGAGAATAGTTTAACTTGTGTCAAAAACAAGAATCAAAGAGTTGATGGGACTTAATTTCATCATCGTGCCACTCTATAGGTTTGCAATCTAGCATGGAGTAAAAATGTGAACGAAATAGTCAGCACTCACGGATATTCTCAGAATCAGATAATGGTGTGGAAGTATCCATCCATGGCAAAGGTGAGAATGACCTTATCATCTTCTTCTTCTGCTCTTCTTTTTTCCAGGTTATTTTAGAATTATTGATTGAAGTTTCATCATAATCGCATGGTTTTGGTTTTTCGAAAAGGTCGCAACTCTGACTGGACATAGTTTACGTGTACTGTATTTGGCAATGTCTCCTGATGGTCAGGTACCATACAAGTCGCTTAGCTCAAACTATAATACATAGTTTATGTGTTATTTTCTGTAATCTGTTAAAAAACCATTTTGCATTGCATTGCATTTGCAGACAATCGTGACTGGGGCAGGAGACGAGACGCTCAGATTTTGGAATGTTTTTCCATCTGTAAAAACACCTGTAAGTTCCAAAGCCTCCTTCTGCAAGCACATTTGTATTATAATGTAGATTCGAATTTTGTTCTTTATATAGACACACTTCCTATTTGCAATTTGCAGGCAGCAGTTAAGGATACGTGCCTTTGGTCTTTAGGCAGAACTCATATCCGATGATAACATACATGTGCGGCTACCAACTTATTATCTTATTATCGTCTGTGTAAAGTGTAACTAAGAAACTACACAAACCTCGAGCAAACAAAAAATAACTTTCTTTTTCAGTGACTCGCATCTGTTATGGTTTCTGTAATTGTAAAGTGAGTTTTTTTCCATTTTCTTTTTCTCATCAACTTACGGTTAAGTTTGTTTGTGTCGGGAAGAGACTACAACAATTTGATCTCCGATGATTTGAACATACTTTACCAAATAGGCATTAGAAGGATTCTAGGGGTAAGTTTGTTGCTCTTAGACCTAGTAAATGCAAGACTCAAAATGTGTTCTTCCAAGCAATTTATTTTTTTGTAAAACCGAAAATAGTAGATTTTTTTTTATTAAAAAAAACTCCTAATCGGCCAACTCAATAATGTATTGATTATGTAAATAATGTAGGATTTGCGAGTTTAAAAGACGAATGTACCTTCTGGGTTACATGAAGTGAATTTATATTATTTTTATTTTTGAATTGTTGAAGTATAAAAAATCCATCGATAACCACATTGAAAGTGCTTTATCCAATCTGTTCAGTCATTTTGCATCTTTCTCATCTGAAACTCCAATCTAACTAACATGGATTATTCATTTATGTAAATAACAAAAATCTACATTATTTTCCTATACAAGTAAATTTACTTTTGTCACTGCCTCAGCTAATTTCTTTGTAAGTGAATCATATTTTTTCTTGTATAGTAGATAAATAAATGTCAGTATAGAGGACTAGTATATTCCATTTCCTAACTCTCTAGCTTCGGAGGAATATTTACAAAACATATACACACACCAAAAAACTTTTATTCCAAGTCTTTTTTCAAGTACAAACTGAAAGTGAAACATCATAAAATGTTCTATGTCGAGCGTTAATCCTTGATAAACTAAATATAAATGTTGAGAAAGATTTCTACTTAGAGCTACAAGTCCACACAGAGAGAACTATAAGCATGCACAGAGAGAAAATATAACTAGGACTCTTTCCATAGAGCTATTTACAAAACTAAAAATTCAATACGCTAAACGCAACTGAACAAACAGTGGAAAAAATAAAAGAAAAACCATCAATCTCAGTCTATACGTCCTCAAATGCCAGTGTTGTCAGTCTAACAACCAAACCTACTTAACAAAATACCGAACATCAACATTCCGAATAGTCTTTTTAACATCAACTTATCGAAAACAACAGTGCAAAATACCGAACATCAACATCAACATAGACATGCCAACATCCCATACAAATCTTTTTAACAACTAAAACCTATTTTCGACAATCATTTGAACCATTTTCACCCGCGCATCGTCATCAAGGCTAAAAAACATGTCTAGCTCTTCAGTCTTATTGCAAAGGTATTTGGTGGTTAGTAGCTTTTCTTCCATGGTTAGGTTGGGCATACCATTTAAGACCTCGTACACCTTGCCACGTCTTTTGGTCGCATCGTGGGCATGACCGACCCTCACTACCATGTCCGATATGTTCTTCGCAGTCTCCTTGCAGAAGGACGACAACATCCCCACGAACTGATTGTCTTCCTCCACTACTTTTTTCCTTTTTCTTGACCTCTTCTCTCTAGCAGACACACTACACTCTCCATTATGCACATTTGCCTCCTCATGCATATGTTCTTCCGGTGGGCATGTATTATTATTGGTTTCTGATCTCCTAGGTGCATTTGGAGTAGTCGGAGATGAAGGCATGTTAAAGACACCGTTTACCGCATCAACAAATCCTGTAGCGTTCTCACCAGTTGCCCTGTCCTTTCCGAATATGTCACACCACTGTGCATAAAATGGCCAAGACTTATACCTCATTGTTTTTGCGTTGGGGTCGATCTACATGGGAAAATTATTATTCAATGTCAAATAAACACGTAAACCATGTATTTATTTAAAAAAAAAAAAATCGAACATTATGCAGACCATGTGTAAAATGGGATGAAAAAGGAAAAAATGGAGTATTAAATTTCACATTTTACACACAGGTTATAGCTTTTAAGCACATCCCGATTTGAACACAAATGTCAATGTGATTGAAAGATGTTTGAATAAACATTGTAGGCATAGCTAAGTCATCTAATAGTTTATATAAATATTATGAAACAAAATACCACCACACCTGTTCAAATATCCCAATAATAAAGCTTTCTCACAGTTACTTCTCAACATAAAACCAACAATGTAAAAGTAAAGAACATAGACTGAATTCCAAGAGCAAAATGCAGAAAAAGTAAATAACATAGAAAGAATTCCAGAGTGCAGAATGAAAAAAAGAAAAACAAAAAATGTTGAGAAGTGGAGATGCGGGTTATCGATCAACATCAACAGCATGAAATATGAGCATTAGTAGTTACAGATAAACACCCAGACACAAATGACATTAGTAGAATGAGCACAACACATATGCACAACACACAAATAAAAATGGCTTCATCGAACTTTTCTCCAGTTTCTTTCTTTTCCAGCCAAAATCATATGCAAATACGCACCTTTAAGTATTCTGTCCATACTTGATCATCCCTCACGTCAAGATAACCACTCTGGGTTAAACTAAAACCAGACTTTTCCATCATCATGCTCAAGGACAGGTGATATTTTTTCCAAACCTTTATCTTCGAAGAAATATGTGGTTCGGCCTTAATGTCTGTGTCCGGAAATACTTGTTTCATGTGATGCTCTAGTAACGCACCATATCCCGACCGAAATCCATTGTCGCACTTCCAACCACGTGCAACAAGGTCTTTCAGCCCATTTACTAAGGCTGCTTCCTCCTCTGATGACCAAACCCTCCGATTATTTGAGGTAGATTCTCTACGCCCAATCCCACCATTAGACTCCATACCTGTAGCACCAACACCCATATTTTGTTTTGAAGAAAATAATACAAATCACAACATATACAATGTTATTAAGGACAAACACATATCAACAATAATGGTTCAAAATAATATGTTTTGCAATACATAGAGAGCTAATATCAGAAAAAACAATTGTTGTAATCATAATCACACAAATAACATTAAGCAGTGGTACAAACAAAAAAAAAAAAATGAAGTTTATGCCACTTAATCTCCGGCCAACCATGAGTTATACATCGATAATGCTAAATTTTCTCTCCAACTAGTCCACTCTTCAGTTGGTTGGACTACATCCACATGCTGTAGAAGATCATCTTCCTCCATCTGCACGGGTTCAGCCATATCATCGTTGATGTCTCCCTCTAATGGGTCAACCGACATGGATGTGCGAATGAAGTTTTGGAGAAGACAACAAGCGAGTATTATCCGGTTTTGAGTACGTATGTTGTAGAAACTGGGGCTCCTAAGAATGGCCCAACGCATTTTTAACACACCAAATGTCCTTTCTATGACATTTCGGGCTTTCGCATGCCTAAGGTTAAAGAGCTCTCTATGATTGGATGGGGAACTTGTACCCGGTCCATACTCTTGTAGGTGGTATCGAACTCCTCTATATGGAGCTAAAAATCCTGGACCGTTCGTATAACCGCCGTCACATAGGTAGTAATTACCTGGTTATAGTATAACAAAAGACACAAATTACTATTACGTCAATTTAGCTAGTTTTAGGATTACATGAATAAATAAGAAGTATGTGGAACTAACCAACGGGGACACGCAAACCATCTGTCCTACTAACGGCATCTCTCAATACTCGCCCATCAGCAGCTGACCCCTCCCAACCCGTTAAAGCGTAAGTAAATTTCATGTCTTGGTTACACACACCAAGCATATTTATTGATATAAACCCCTTACGGTTTCTATAACGGGGGTGAAGTTGTGCTGGGACACGAACAGGTATGTACGTTCCGTCTAGTGCACCTAGGCATCCCTACATGATATGTATTCATTATTATCTAGGTAAAACTTAATAAGAATTAAAAGACTTTAATATAAAAAGAATTAAATTCAATTACTATCACCTTAAACCATTTCCACCTTCGATCAATACAACCTTCATCGATTGGAGCTGGCCGTACCGTAAGAATGGGATGTAACCGAAGCACAGCATTTAGCACATTGTTGAATACTTTGCTTATTGTTTGGCCCGAACGGTTAAAATCAAATTTGACGACTCTATTTTTTTTATGGTGTGCCAAAACGCTTAAGAAAGTCGCTGCTTGTTCACTTAGTGGAACATTTCTAGTGCTTACGAGACCACCTACATGTTCTAGCAAAAAACATAACCTGCCAAAGGCATCTCGATCCATGCGAAGTTGCTGGATACAATTTGTGTCACTGATTTCGATAAGGTGAGTCAAATGACGAATTTGACTATTAAGGCGGTCAGCCATGCGATACATAGGTGTATGACTCCTACGACCCATGGTACGACGACGTCTACGGTCATGCACATATTTTTTATACACATAACAGAAGACCAAAATGATTCTTATTAAGCTTAGAATTAATTCGAGAATCATAACAATTTCAAATTCTTCCGTCTCCATGTCCATCAGTATCTGCCGCAAACATCAATACACCGTTATTGTTTTATCATACAATTAACTATAACTATATATATCATGATCCCCATGAACTTTTATTCAGATTTTAACAAACAATATAACATCCAGGATGACTTAACAAGAATTAACTTTTCATCCATCAGCAGCTTTATGATCTATGCAACATGGGTAAGTTTATTTCACATTAAAAAGTACCTTTATCTCCTCATGCACAAAAAATTAAATAGCAAATAGGTGAACTTATAAAAGAACATCAACTGCCAAATTTCTAGCAATGCAAACTACAAACCGGAGAAACAAAATCACCTTCTTATCTTGTAAACTAGCTGAATACAAAGAAATATATCACTTTTAGGTCACTTGTTACCTCATCATTTTGCTGCTCGCCCAATGAACTCAACCAGAAATAATTGCAAAATAAAGAGTTATTATAGAAAATGCACATGTGATATAATTACCACAAACAACTTCACAATGTCCGAGGGCAAACAAAATTACATAGATACAACAAGCAGTAATATCCATATCTAAGCTATCTGTTAATTTATCTATGGACAAGACTAATTATATTTTCCTCAAAGGAATCAACATTTTCATGAGCAAAATTTCGATTTTTTTTTTTTAATTTTTTAGGAAAATAGGAAAGGGTTTTTTTGTAATGGCATTTGACAGCAATACAAACTTTCAAATTAATACACAGAAAATTATTAATCTTTTCTGATAAAAATAAATCTAATGAAAAACAATTCTGCAAATAAGAGGTAATAAAATCCGAATTCAAGTTTCATTCACAGACATCAAAACACATTCAGACTTTGCAAACAAAAGCACATTGAAACCGTTCATGGGAAGAGCACATTCACAGGCACATCACTTCGGAATCAAAACACTTTCACACCATTGATATCAAAATTTTAAGATTAATGCCGATAATTACCTTTCGCAGATGTCAGGCTTCAGAATCGTTGCCGATGGAGATGAAAGGAGTGCGGTTTCTCTTCTTCGGGCTAGGGCAGTTTTTGATTTCTGTTCGCAGACGTGAGATGATAAATGAGAAAACTGATTAGGTCTAGTTGTAATTTGTGTTACAGGGAAGGTTAAAACAGTCCGAAAATTATTAAAGTGGGGGTAAAATAGAAATTTAAGACAATGGGATAGGAATAATCCCACCTATTCCCTGGGATTAATTTATCCCATGTAGGAGGAATTAAACTGTTTTTATACCGGGCCGATGGGATTTCTGCGGGCTTTAATGCCATGAACCAAACGTAGGATTAGGCCTGGATTAGGCGGGATATCCTGCCTAATCCCACCAAACAAACATGAGCTTGTTCTTGAACGAATAAGAGCTTGTTCTTGAACGTTCGATAATGTTCGTGAATATTAATTTAGTTTACATTTAATTTATTTTTATATATTACATGGTACTTTTAATAAAAATCTAAAATATAAAAATTTATTTATTTATTTGTTATTTTCGAGTTCGAACAAGTTCGAACGAACATATTTCGAATTCGTTAAACATATTTAAAAAATTTGTGTCCTAAATTACTCGAACACGAACGAACGTAAACTTTGATGAATAATTAAACAAACGAGCTCGAACACGATTTTTTTGCTTGAAAATAAACGAGCAAACACAAACAATGTTCGAACGTAAACGAAAACGAGTTCGAAATGCCCAAACTTGACGTGTTCACTTCGATTACAACACTAGTGGTAATAAGATAAAATTTCTTATTTGCTCTTATATAACCTTAAAGTAATTAAAATTATATTATAAAAAAAACAGGATTAAAAAGGAAATAATAACCGCGTTCCAATTTGTTCATGGAAATTGGAAATAATATCGGTGGGCGTCAATAAAATAATAAAAATATCTTTTTGTAATCTAATTCCCTCATTTATTTCCACCTCATCGCCACTAACCCTCCAACTCCCCGGCGAAGGTTCCTTCTCCGTGTCTCAATCGGAAACCTCTCAATCAGCGGTTATTTATCAGATCTATTAGTCCAAATGCTCCAATTTTCCCTATTCGGGTGTTAGCCTTGCCCTAATTTTCAGGGTTTATTGTGTTTGGATTTGTTCTCGATCGATTTTAGAGTTCGGCGTGGTTGGTTTCAAAACTTTTGGCCTGAGGAGATGGTGATCTGAGCTTTGAGTGAAAAAATTTGGTTTTCTCAGGCGGGTTTTCCGTTTCTCTTTTGTTTGTCTGCTTGGTTTTGCCGGAATTGGGTTTAGGCGCTAATCGTAGGTTAGGGTTTAAGTTTTGAGCTTTTTGTGTGTTCGAATTAGGTTTAGAACTGAATTTGATTAGGATTAGTTTTGAGGGTTCTCTGCGAGGCGTCGATTGGGGAAAATTATGGTTGGATCGGAAAGTTTTGGTTCGTCTCCTTCCTCTGCGGAGGCGGAGAAAAAGCAGTCGCCAAAGCAGTGGGGCGTGACGAGGCCTCTGTCTCATGCGGGGCCCACCGATGTGGATATTCAGAAGAACAGGGAGTTGGAGAAGGTTGGTCCCCCGAATTGATGATTGGGTTTTCAGTGTTCCTTTTTGTTCTAAGATGTGTTTGCAAATTAGTGGATTGGGAATCCTTATGTGGTAGAGCTTGATTTTGTTGTAATTTTTAGTTTTTGGTGGACTCTGGACTTCATGAGAGCGCGGAAGGAGCTGCCAAGAGGGAGGAGGTTCTGGATAGACTGAGAAAAGTATGTTGATACAAATTGTTGTTTCATATTTCTGCATCGCTGTGTTATGTGTACTTGGTTGATGGATGCAATTTTGGTTGAATGTGTTCCTAGAGAATGGTTTGCATTTTCTTCCAAGTAATTGAAAACGGTGCAGGCAAATTGAAGTATGGACAAAATTAAATGTGTAGGTTAGTGTGTTGAAGGTTTCAATGTTTGACAAAAGAAAATTGTATATCTTTCTGGTATGTTTTTGAACAGAGGTGGCTGATCATAATGATTCGACTTGTTCTATTACTGTCTTGTTCTCTGAGTAATAATGGGTGGTTGTGTAGGAGCTGAAATTGCTACTTGGATTTTGTTTTCAATGCTAAATCTTAGGTGAAAATGGAATTTTGTGATGAGTGCTCATGTGGCAGCTAGTTAGATTTTCTATCCATGGTCTTCTATTTTGTAGGTAACTGTTAGAGGCATCATGTGGTAGCTTGATTTGTATGGTAAACTAGGAAAGATTAAGACATAGCTATAAGCGTTGTAAGTAAAAGTGATTCTCTTCATGCACTAGGATTTTGAACCTCCATAGTTGCTATCAGAAGCTGAAAAGAATCATTGCTACTGTTGAGTTGTTACATATTATGACTTATTCCTTTTCCTGATATAATTGTGTTAATATGAATTTTGTTCTTAGTTGCATGTCTTATACTCATAAATTCTATGCACTGTTTTAACTAATATGTATGGCTTATTTTTACTTGCAATGTGGCATTTCTTCTTCTGTTATAGATTGTGAAGGATTGGGTCAAAGATCTTACTCGGTTGAGGGGATACACAGAAAAAATGGTGGAAGATGCCAATGCCGTTATTTTTACTTTTGGTTCTTATAGACTCGGAGTAAGGACCTTATACTTATGCTACTTTGATGTTTGATTCATTTTGGCACCTTCTCTTTCAAAGTTTAACATGGAAATGATATTATATTTTTATACCTGTGTCATGATATTTTAATGATAATCTTCTGGTTTTTGCATTTGCAATCATATGCTAACCCTTTGTTTGTTTTGGCAGGTACATGGTCCTGGTGCTGATATTGATACTTTGTGTATTGGACCGTCTTATGTTAGTCGGGAGGTACTTTGGGACTTGTCTATTCATATATGTATGCTCCTTGTTATTTTTAGTATTCACTATTCAAAATATTGTGTCACCAGGAAGACTTCTTTTATGTACTGCATAACATGTTAGCTGAGATGGAAGATGTTACCGAACTCCAACCAGTTCCTGATGCTCATGTTCCTGTCATGAGATTCAAGTTTGATGGAATATCAATTGATCTTCTATATGCAAGTATTTCTCAGTTGGTTGTTCCAGATGTGAGTTGTTCAAGTTTACTCTTCCATTATAGACTCGGTGATTTTTTTCATTGTCCTGCATATCATTGTCTGAAAGTTAGATCATGGTCATTGGCTTCCTGAAGTTATACAGGATTGTTCGGAGCATGTTTCTTGCGTCAATTATCTTATTAGTTGATTCTTTTTTAACTTGTTATTTGATGATTAATGTAATAGTTCTTTGTATAATATTTTTGGCTTTTTGTTTCTCATTGTCTAATTCTGTAGTTCTCTAGATCAGTTGAGCTGGTATTACTGGTCCTCTTCTGATTGGTGTGATACTCGACTGTTTAAGTGCTCATCCAGGGAAGAAAGATTAATGCCTTTTCACATGATGTGCCTTCATTGAGAAGAGTAGTGGTTATTTTCTTGCATTATATATTATGTACTCTTGTTAAAATGCGCACTTTGGTTGCTGGTAGGATAAATTAATTTCTATTGGTTTCTTTTTTTCTCTGAGCGGGTCGATGATGTAAAGAGAGGTAGAGGTCGGCCTAAACTTACTTGGGAAGAGTCGGTTAAGAGAGACATTAAAGATTGGAATATCTCCAAGGATTTATAGGAGCGCTTGGAGGCTAGCAATCAACGTGCCATAACCGTGACTTTTGCTCCTTTCTCTTTTGCTCCAATCTCTTCCTTTTGTTTTGAGCCCTTTTTGTGTTTCTCTTACCATTTGTTCTCTTGGGTTTCATCTCTAGCCTACCCCAACTTGCTTGGGACTAAAAAACTATGTTGTTGTTGTTGTTGTCCTTTTTTCTATGAGCCACATTCTCCAAGTTATTTGTTTCTCTTGTGAATTTCGGTTTGACATAAGCTTTTGCTGTTGGTACTCAAAAGAAAAAAAAAAAAGAAGATAGAGGGAGAAGAAAGAGAGAAAAGAAGAGGGGAAAAATCTGCCTGGTGGATAGCAAGTTAGCATTGGAAGCGTAGGAACTGTTTGGAAGCCTTTTTTCAGAAAAATGGGACGAGCTGTAGACTGTAGGACCTGCGTTTACTTTTCTCCCTCTTTCAAATGTGATTTTCTTTGCTTTCAATATCATTGAATATTATTTGGTGGATGGAGTTTACATGGAACAGAACATATAGTGTCATAACAGTGTTCTACTGCTGCAGTGTTGATAAGTCTAGCTTTTGATACGACATGTTTTCTGAGATTTAGTAAGTCAAGCTTCTGTATGACAGGATTTAGATATCTCAAGTATATCCGTATTGCACAATATAGATGAACCAACTGCACGTAGCCTTAATGGATGCCGAGTAGCCGATCAAATTCTTAAGCTTGTTCCAAATGTTGAGGTACTCAATTGAAGTGAATGTTGGTTGTGCTTTGGGCTATCATATATAAGTTTCTCATTTTCTCTTATATTATGTTTCTTTGTTTTCTTCTTTTTTCATAATCCTGTAATCTCAGAATTTTAGAGTGACTCTACAATGCCTAAAGTTCTGGGCTAAGAGACGTGGTGTTTATTCAAATGTAAGCTGTTTTCTTCGCATTGTTTTTGAGCATTTGCTATATCTGTGGGACAACTGATAATCTCTTGGTTGTGGCATCCGTACTCTTGTTTTTCAGGTGATGGGGTTTCTTGGTGGTGTGAACTGGGCTATTCTGGTTGCTCGTTTGTGTCAATTTTATCCCAAAGCAAATCCCAGCATGCTAGTTTCTCGTTTCTTCCGTGTTTACACAATGTGGCGCTGGCCTAATCCTGTGATGCTTTGTGGAATAGAGGATGATGAACTTGGATTTTCTGTATGGGATCCTAGAAAAAACCCTTGGGACCGCAATCATCTCATGCCTATTATAACCCCTGCCTACCCTTGCATGAATTCTAGTTACAATGTTTCAGCAAGTACCCTCCGTGTTATGATGGAGCAGTTTGAACTTGCTAAAAAAATCTGCGAGGTAGATAGTCTAAAATCTTTAACAGGTCACTGAAGAGCTTTTCTGCCTATGGATCTGACTGATTTGGATTTTGCAGGACATCGAGCTGAACAAATTGCAGTGGAGTGCCTTGTTTGAACCGTATCTGTTCTTTGAAAGCTATAAAAATTATTTACAGGTTGACATCATTGCCTCTGATCCTGACGATTTGCGTTCTTGGAGAGGTTGGGTTGAATCTCGGCTGAGGCAGTTAACTCTGATGGTAATATCTTTCTGTAGGGTTCAGTATTGACCGACATGGAGCTAATTTTTGTTAACCTTAATCATTCTCATGTGTTGTATTATTTCTTTGATAACTCTCCAATATTTTCTATCCAACTGTTTGTTTTTATTTATCTATGCAGATAGAACGGGACACCTGTGGGAAACTACAGTGCCATCCTTACCCACACGATTACACGGATTCTTCGAAGCAGTGTGCTCATTGTGCCTTCTTCATGGGTTTACAGAGGAAACAAGGGGAAGTCATTCAAGAAGGCCAGCAATTTGATATCCGCCAGACAGTTGACGAGTTTAGGCATCAGATAAACTCATACCTGTATTGGAAGCCTGGGATGGATATATACGTATCTCATGTCCGTAGAAAGCAAATCCCCTCATATGTATTCCCAGATGGATACAGAAGGAGCCGACATATTAGGTCCACAAGTCAGATGAAGGTTGATAAGACTCTCATTGAAAGCAGCGAGGCCTGTGGGCTCGTATCTGCCGAAAGATTACTGAAACGGAAAATAGAGCTTCACGGGCCTGAGTCGGAAGGCAGCCCGGAGAAGAGGCATTCAATTAGCCCCCAGAGCCAAACATCGGTTTCGCCTGAACTCGTTTGTTGCTCTACCCTTTCTGAAACAATAAAAGAGAAAGTTGCAATGAACGGGCCATTTCCTTTTATGAATGGAATGATTCAGGAAGTGGGCACTATGGTTCAAGAGCCTGCTGCTATAGAAAAAGAGATGGGTGCAGTTTTAATGACATCAGACCAGGGTATGCACTGCAATGCTGATAATGGTTGCCTGTCTGCGGCTAATGAACAGATGATATTGGATAATGGACGTGAGAATGGCGCTTCTGTGTTGGGAGATGGATTACGGGAGCAGTTAGAGGTTTTTGATTTAAGTTTCTCTTTGTCAACTTACACTATAAATAGGTTCTGCTTTGTTTAGTAGTTTGTTGCATCAATCTGCTTTTTATATATGATTATTGATTAGCTACCAAAACTACTCTGCGATTGGCCTAATTCCAAAAGAGTTAGCAGTTAGCTCTGAAATTTTGAGCACTTGCTGTAAAAAATTTTCCTCTATAATTTGACCAAACTTCAAGGGTAAGTTTTTGTAGTTAACCCAATATGAATAGTTTTCCATTTGTTTCCTGGAAATGTTTGGCTGAAATTTTGGTTCTAATTAGAGTATTGATTGTGCTGTTGTGTTTCTGTGAAGCCTAATGCTGCCCTCTCGAGGGTCCTTCAATCTGGAGATGGAGTCGGTTCGGAGCCAGTAGAGAAGAACGTGATGAGGCATGTCTATCGAAATTCGACAACTGTTTGTACTTTCTGAATATCATTCATTTACACATTTGTCTTTATAGTGTTTTCCTTTTTCTTGGTTATGTTGGTTCATTCTTACAGCAGCAGGTTTAGTCTTGCTTCGACTGCATGAATGGCAGAAGATCATTGGTGAGCATGTCCAAAAGCCAGCCAGCTCGGGTAAGTATCGTATACGTTTCGTTTCGAGGCAAACGCTATCTTTAAATCAAGCAAAAGCCTCTCTTCTGAAGAATACTCTGGTGTCTTGTCAGGAAAGTTCGTCCTAGTGCTGTTCCTGTTTTTTTTTTTTTTTTTTTTTTTTTTT